AGCATCCAGCCCACGCCCCGGCTCATTCCGCACGTGGCCCCGCCGCGGGGGCCGCCCCTGGCTTGTCACACGAACCGCCCCCACGCCGCTCACCCAAACACATGCTCCGAGCTCCAGATCTTCATGGCGCTGCTCGTGCCGCCGCCGTCCCGATGGCAATGGCGGCCCCAGCTCCGGCCCCGGCTCCGGCCGGCTGGGCGCGGGGGCGGGGCGTCGCGAGCGCCAACCAATGAGAGCGAGCCCCCAGCGGTCTCCCGGGTGCGTCACGCCGGCGTTGTCCCCCCGGCCCCTCACCCTGAGTGCGTCACTGCAGCGCCTCCTCCCCTGATTCCGCCCTCCGCGTCACTCACCCCCCCGCCCCCGCGCATTGCGGCGTCACGCGACTGCGCGTCTACGTCACGCGGCCCGGCCTGTCCTCTGGGCGCCCCTTCGGGTCGTGGCCCGGTCTCCGCTGCTGCCAATACCCACAGCTCGTTCCTTGTTCCCCGTTCCCTTCGCAAAACCTGCTTCGTGCAGCGAAAGGCTGTGGATTCTCCATGACCCCCGCTGCTTATCCGAGGCCGAGTCCCCGAGACCTCATGTCCTCTTACATCGTCGCGAGTCAGGAGACGTGAGATCAAATTCTGACCGGCCCTGGTTGTGTAAAGCCCAGCACCGGCAATAAGGAACCCACTTCAGGCTGAGTACAGGGGTGGGTCCTGGCGGGGCAGTGTAGTGCCCTCCTTTGATTCCTGCTCCACCCCCACTTCAAAGCCAGCTGCCTGGCACAGCATCTTCGGAGGGTTTTTGCCTAGCTGATGGTATTAAAACTGTATGTGTAATCCAGCAAATCCCTGCTTGTTCTGATAGTGATGTGGAAATCACGACAGGATCGCTGCTTGGCTAACAGAGCACTTTACTTAATTTTACATGGTCACAGGAGAAGAAGCAAGGGCAGCTAATTCTCTGCAGCTGCGGAGTCCAGACTCTTACATACTTGTGAGAACAAGACACACAGAAGTCTGTCCCTTAATACATTCTTGGCAGTCTGACAATACATCACCCTGGAGCCCTGCTAGACTAAACGTATTTTCTCTAGCTGTCTCCCGATAAGTTTTATCTCAAGGCCCCTTTGTTTTTCGGACTTTACTTATGCTCCTTATTATGGCTTAACTTTATTTTCACTTGTCCCAGTACTTTTCCTCATCATCTCCCCCCTTGTAAGCACTTGTGCTTACATCTCTATGTCCATAAGACCTTTGACCTCTTGACGCTAACACTTGTAGGCCACTTCTCTAAGCACCGTCATCTGCAACTCAGTAGCAGACAACTTAGAAACACTTTGGGCAGTTTTTGCTAAGCAAAGGCGTGAACAGCACAAAATCATTTAGATAATAAAAACAGCAAAAATAATGCACCACTTCAACAGGGATTTCACCCATCCCCCTAAATTTGGCAGCCAACCCCAGCAATCAAAGAATTTCTCTTCGCCAACAGCATGAATCACTTGCAACTGCTTTCTTACGGTACGGAGATCCCCCTGCACTCGTTGGTGCTGATCTATCCAGGTGCAGCACGTGGTTCACAACCACATGTACCCCCTTGGGCAGCTAGGAGACAGTCCAGGGCCATACGATTTTCAACAGCTACTTGCCCACCTGGGTAATCTCATCATTGAGAGCTCCCAAAGCGTTGGCACTAGCATTGATAAAGTTCTCCATGACTCCCGAAATATTTATAATGGCTTTTTCTAATTCAGCTACCCCTAACCAAGGGAGGAAGGCCCTGGTAAATTGGTGAAACTCCGTGTGTCAGAGAACCAACAGGTTCTCAACTGCACGCCAATGTCTGGGCAAGCCAGGCGGGAAGTTACACACTTCATGCCATGAGAGGCTAGACTGCAAGTCAAACGTCGGGACGACTCTGCCCAAGGTACAGGTGCCGACCCAATTCCACGGTAGAGTCTTATGGGCATCATCCCCACACAGCCAGTACAAACCAGGAGCTGCTGCAGTACTAAGATCCCTACAGGGCGTTTCCCTCCCAACATTTTCGATTGACCTGTAGGGTGTAGGAAGGGGCACGTTGGCTTTCCACCATTCTGGGGGGAGATATTGATTGGTTACAGAAAACAGGACCTAACGCCACATGAAAATCAAAGCCATCGAGCACTAAACTAGACATCACACTATAGTTCCTATCTGAGGGTATAAAGATAGCAATGAGCGCCCCATCACAAAAATGGGACTGAAACTCTCCTGACACTTTCCTCTTTTCTCAGTCCATGGCCAGGTGAAGGTCACCTTGCATCTGGGGTAATGCTCTACAAAGTAGCCAGCCTCCCCGGTCCTTCCTGTCCTATTAAACTTATAACAGAGGACCGCTTCTAGCCCTGAGGACAATTTCCAACTGTCTCAAGCCGCTTTCCACCACATAGGTATTGACAGCTGGTTTCTAGATCCGGGGGGTGGGGAACCTGACAAAGCTGGTATTGGAGTCAGTTCCCCAAACCTCAAGCGGGATCAGCACCCTAAGCATTGGGATTCCCTTGGTTGGGTGTGTGGGCCCATGTATGCATACCCAGCAATTTGTAAGTTTTCCTGCATGAGCAATGCTCTGTCCCAAGAATACAACACTGTTTTGTTCCCATGCCTCAACTGGAACCCTTAGCAAGAGGCAAAGCAAAAGAAGGGACAACACCTTAGGGCCTGCCCGAGCGCTATCCCAATGCAGCTATCTCTTGGAACTCCAAGGAACTTTCTTTGAGTAAAACTTCGGTCTCCAGCACACTACTGATAACACAACATGAATCACAAAAATATAAAACAGCATCAGTCCCTGGGGAGTTTCTAAATCTATGCAATTATCTGCAATTTTCCCACAGGTTAGTGCTATTCACACTAATATTACTAAAGTATATTAGCACACAGAACTAAAGTTCATAGCTTCAAATGAAGCTTGGCTAGCTGGGTAGGCTATCTTTGAGACTTCGTTGTCTGATCTTCACTCACAGGAACCCTCTGGATCTTCAAGGAGGTGTCGCTGGTGAGAGAAATCTTCCACCCCGTCGGGGCAGATACCTTTTTGCAGTGGGAGGTATGGAGTCAAGCAGAAACCTCAGCAACCTTTACAGCAGTTGGGGTGGTCAGCAGGACCTGAAAATGCCCCTTCCTCCGAGGCTGCAGGCAGTCCTTCCTCTGGTGGACCTTAATCAAGATCCAATCTCCTGTTGGACCAGATTGATAACCGAGTCGCCATCTAGAGACTGATGTGATACTGTGGCTTTAACCTGCAATGAGATAACCTTGAGGGCCTTGGTGAGCCCTTGGCAATAGGTTAATAGAGAATCATGTAGATGAGTCAGATGTTGGGGTGGAGGAGCAGCGAGTCCCCTCATGGGTCGACCCATAACAATCTCAAAAGGGGTCAGACCCAAGGATCTCTGAACAGAGTTTTGGATTTGGAAAAGAACCAAGGGAAGGGATTCTGGCCACTTTAAACCAATATGTTCACAGGTCTTCACCAGGCGAAGCTTAATATCGAAGTTTTTTCGTTCCACTTTACCTCCACTCAGGATGATTTGGGGTGTGGAGTTGGAATCGGATGGAAAAGGTCTTGCAAACATGTTGGACCACCTGGACAATAAAATGAGGGCCTCAGTCTGAGTTCAGGGAGAGGGGTAGACTGAAGTGGGGCACCAGGTCAAAAAGAAGTTTCTTGGCCACAGTGAGAGCATCAGCTCGTTGGCAAGGGTATGCCTCAGGCCAGCCACTGAAAAGGCAGACAATGACCAGCACATATTTCCAGGGTCCATACCTGGGCAGCTCAATAAAGTCCATCTGGAGGTAGGAGAAGGGATAATGGCCCAAAGGCCTGTGGCATGTGTGTGGCTGGTGGGGTGGTCAGCCAGGGTTGTGCCGCAGAAAAACCTGGGGCATACCAATGATGGTCTATCTTGGCCATCATCCCCCCTTTGGCCGAGTGGGCCACTGAGTGGGCCATTTGGGCTAAGGGGGACAACAGGGCCCGGGGAGTTACAAGGCGGCCAAATGGGTGTCGCCACAAAGAATCAGTGAGGGAGCAGCCTGCAGAAATCCAGGTGTCCTTTTCAGTGTCCGGGGCGGCATCCTGGAGGGAGGGGAGGTCAGGGGAGACAGGGGAAGAGAGGTAGAGAGCGGCCTGAAGGACTGGAGCCGAGAGTTCCAACAAGGCGGCGGTCTTGGCCACAGCATCTGCCCTGTTATTTCCCAGAGACACAGGATCATCAGCAACAGTGTGCGCTTTGCACCATAGGACACCAAGGGCAGAGGGAAGAATAGCATCCAGGAGAGCAGTAATAAGGGGACGATGGGAAATGCGAGTTCCAGCAGATGTAAGGAAACCTCGCTGCTTCCAGATCTGCCCAAAGGAGTGGCAGACATCAAAAGCATAGCGAGAGTCGGTATAGATATTAGCAGATTGTTCAGTGGCAAGGTGGCAGGCACAAGTGAGAGCAATGAGTTCAGTGGCCTGAGCACTAGAAACAGAAAGAGGAGCAGATTCAATGACAGAGTGGTCAGAACAGACAGCATAACCAGCTTGGAGAACACCATGACTATCTCAAAAACAGGAGCCATCAACGTAAAGAACGAGGCTGGGGTTAGTCAGAGGGGTATCAGAAAGATCAGGATGGGGAAGAGAAACAAAATCCACAAGCTGGGTACAGTCATGGGGTTGACCATCAGAGGGTGAAGGTAAAAGAGAGGCAGGATTGAGGGGGTCACAGCAAACAAGGGTCACGTGGTCTGCCGCTAGGAGGACAGCGTGAGGGACAGCAGCAGTAAGGGGGTGTCCAAGAACAAGGTTATCAGTTTTAGAAACCAGCAGGGCAGCAGCAGCAACAGCACGGAGGTAAGGGGGAAATCCAGAAGCAACTGGATCAAGGGAGGCACTATAATAAGCAATGGGACGGTGCGGGGAAGGCCCAAAAGGCTGAGTTAAAACACCAAAAGCAGTGCCTTGGTGTTCATGACAAAAAAGAGTAAACAGCTTAGAATAGTCAGGCAAACCGAGAGCAGGAGAAGAGGAAAGGGCTTGCTTGAGCTGGCAGAAGGCAGTTTAATGGCTTTCATCCCAGGGTAGTGAATCAGGGGAAGAGTCACGGGTGAGAAGGGTAAGAGGTCTGGAAAGTCCAGAGTAATTGGGAATGCGCTGTCGGCAGTAGTTCACAGCACCTAGGAAATCATGG